CTCCCACACTCACAGCCAGGCCCTTTCCCCTTCTAATGTGACCACAGCTACAATTAGTGCACTGCTAACAGCCCTGCCTTGGCACTGATAGATAGAGGCACAGACCTGAAGCTCATCAGAGGCTGATCAACACCTCTGGAGCTGCAGTTCATTATCTCCAGGCTGTGGATGGAGAAGCCCTGGCCCTCTATCCACTGTGCAGGAGGGACGTGGTGCTGGGGGCAGCCCCGTGGTGGCAGCACCCATGGGATGGCAGCGGCTGTGGGCTGGAGGCGAAGCGCTGAACGCATGGCCCTGTGTGGGGTAGGGCATCCCAACCAACCACAGCCAGTGCTGGTGATAATATCGGGTCTTTCGCTTTGATTAAAGTTATTTAAGCTTTTTACTGAAACATAAAACCTGATTGTTTGCATAAACAACCTAATTGGATTATAGTGCACGGCATCGCTAATGCTGCGGGCTGGTGAGGAGCTGCAGGGCAGGCGAGGCCTCTGGCTCTGACACTTTGCCACCATTCTGTTGCCACACCGTGTGCCACATGGGGACCCAGAGCTGTCACCCCCACTGGGGACACTGCTGTCCCTATGGCAGAGCCTCGGGTGGACGATGCCTCACTGCAAGGTCCCGGGAGAGCAGGGACAAAGTCGCTGTGCTGGCATCACCCACTCAGCTCGAAGAGGAGGAGGATGAGCACGGAGGGATGAAGCACGCTGAGCTGCAGTGAGCGACAGAGTGCTGCCTGCCCAGGGCTTCCACGGCTGGGAGCTGCCGAAGGCTTTCATGGCAAGCAAAGCGGCGAGGCTGCATGAATATTTCATTAGGAAAGCAATGTGGTGTGCTGCAGAGAACATCTGGCTGGAGTCCCCGGAGACCCCCGGCTTGTGCAGGAAGCAGGAACTGTGAAATATGGAGGAAAACGAGGGAGAGGGGGGCGGCGGGGGGGGAGGGGGGTACATCTCAGCCCCCTGCGGTGGCAGCTCAGGGCCTGATCCAGCTCTGATCAGTGGTCCCATGAGGTTTTCATGGGGCTCCTCTGGTCTGGAGACCCTGAGGAAGGTTGTCCTGATGGTGTGGGAGCAGAGGGCACAGAGAGGCTGCTGGGCACAGTGGGTTCGTTGGTGGGTGCAGAGCACTGTGCAGGAGCTGGGGTGGTGCAGGGGCTCAGTGTTGGTGCTGCAACCCCATCCCCAGCACACAGTGTGCACCCCAAACATGCAGCCCCAGCCCCCTGCAGCCCCAAGCCCAGCCTGTTGGTGAGGACAGCACTCTGCTCACCGTCCCCTTTGTGCTGAGGACTGCAGCACAATCTCCACGACTGTGCTCTGCTCTCCAGCCCCTCCTGAGCCTGTTCACAGATGGGGAGCAGGGGATGATTCCTCTGGGATGGTGTATGCGGTGCCAGGGCACATACCACCCTGCCCCCTGGCAGCAGCATTGCTGCATTCCAGATACCAGAGACCCTCTGGGCTGCGATTCACTGTGCTGTCCCATCGCTCCCCCTTCCCAAACACAGCCTCCCACCGTGCCCTGCTCCCAGCCGGCCCCTCATGTCCCAGCCCTGCCGCCTCCATCCATCGCAGCAGACAAAGCCCGGCCAGACAAAGCCCAGCCCCGGCCCTGGGCAGCCTCCTGTGCTGCACCGCACGGCGAAGGCACATCCCCTTCTGCAGCACCGCCAGCACCCACAGCCCCATACCTTCCTCCATAGGCGTCGGGAGCACGTTGGCACCAGCAGTGCAGCGAGGCCACGGGCACCCAGCCCACCACCACACACCCAGCAAGCATGCAAACGAAGGCAAGTCATACCTTCCTCCTCTCCAGCTCCATCATCCTCTATCCGTCCTGCGCCGGCCAAGCGGCACTCCGCCACGCTGCCCGTCCTCCATGTGCCGCACGACGATGGGCTGCAGACCCTCCTCTCCCCTCCGGCTGGCTTCGGCCCCACGCTGCCTGCTGGCATTTTGGCAGCCTCGCCGCTCCAGCGATGGCATGCGTCCATTTTTTTTTTTTCTCCTCGCTCCCTTTCACAATCCATCCCCAGCCTCGCTGCCTCCGGAGCCGCCTGTGGTGCCAGCGCAGGGAACTTGGCAGCGTGTAGCGTGGGGATGCTCCGCAGCTGAGCAGAGCCCCTCTGCCATCACCCGCCCTGGCACGGGGCCGGGGCCACGGGGGGCTGTTGTTGTTCCCAGCACTGCTGCCAAAAGCCAAACAGGGGGGGAAAAAAAGGAAAAAACGCAGAGCGAGGATCTGGCAGCGGTGCCATCGCCGCGCGCAGGGGACCTTTCCTTTTGGCACATCCTCATCCCTCTCTGGAGCACCCCGGTGCCACGTGGGGAGGCTCGGCCCCATCTGTCCCCACGTCCCCATGCGTACCCCACACCGATGAGCAGGAGGCGACGACGGCAGCAGAGCCGTGCGGCGACGCTGCGTGGTGAGCACGGCTCCCAGACACACCTCTTACCCAGCATCCACCTGCTGCGAGAGGGGGGCCCAGGAAATTGGGAAGGAGAAAGCGGGGAGAGGCTCTGTGCCAATGGGTGGGAGGTTTTGGGGTCCCTCCCGGCTGCGATGTGTGGCCTCTATGGCCTTGTGCCGTGTGGTGTCCACATGCCGTGCCCCAGCTGTGACCACCAGCCATCAGTAGGGCAGGTGAAGGCACTGCGACCCTCCGTGCCTCTCCAGTTTTCACCTTTCTGCCCAAAATTCCTGGTCTTTGCAGCTTTTTGGAGATGGATGCAGCCAGAGCTAGAGCTTGGCTTCGTCTGAGGGATGTGCATAGGTGTACCTGGGCAAGAGTCAAGGAGTCAAGTCACTGAGAGCCACATTTATGGCAAGCTCCCATTTATGAGGATCTGCAGGGGTGCCAGTGCTGCCTCATCATCCTTCACAGCACGGCCCTACAGCACAGCTTCCTGCCATTCCCATTAAGCAGGTTTTCCCCTAACTGGGGATTAGTTTGCTGAGGTTGGCACAATGTGTCAGGAGCCCCTGGGGCTGCATGTGGATCGCACCATCCCCATGCCACACTCCTACTGTGCAGCACCTACCGTCTGTGCTGCAGCACGTCCCCAGCCCCACAGCCAGCAGACCCCAGGATGGCAAGGCCATAGGAAGAGGCCCAGAGGCCAACCCCTGTTCCTGTATCCTCGTCCCCATGCCTCCTGTCCCCCAGCCGGGCCATGTCACACGTGTGCCCACCATTTCCTCCAATAAGCAGCTAATCTCCATCCATCATAATTTCACACAATTATCATAATAGGGCCATTTTGCACTTATCCTCTCTGCATGAGGCGGGAGGCACTTAGGGTGGCACTTCACGCCGAGTGCCTCCGTGCTGCTCCCTGTCCCCTGCCTTGGGCTGTCCTAGCCAGGGTGGCTCATCCTTGCCCCAGGACTGCTGTGTCCCCACGTCCCTGTCCTTCACTGTGTCCCCATGTAGGGCCCTATCCCTCCCTGACCACCCCCGCATGGCACAGGGTTGCAGCTGCAACGCTTCCCCTGAACATCAACCTCCCCGTGAAATAGTGCAGTTTACACCACATTTGTAATAATGTTCCTTTTTTTTTTTTTTTTTTTTTTTTTTTTTTTTTTTTTTTTTTTTTTTTTTTTTTTTTTTTTTAATAAATACGATGTTGCCACCAGTAAACTCTAATGCAATAAAAGCTTTCTGCTGGATCCATAATTAATCAGCGAGCTGCTTAATGCAATGCACTCCCAACAGCACGGGGTGTGTGGCTCAGCCCCAGCCAAAGGGGGAGGGTGGGGGGATGAGAACCACGGTGGCCCCAAAGTGCTCATTTGGGGACACAGAGCTGTGTGGGGGCATGGACAATCCCAGGACCCTGGGCTCGGGTGTGGGGGCTAGCAAAGTGAGGGCTGAGCATCATCCCCAGCAGATCTGGGGTCCAGATGGCCAATGGTCAGCAGGTGCTGGGGGATGGAGCAGCAGAGGGCAGACATCTGCTGTGCATGCGGGCAGCTGGCCATGTCCCCCCCCGCTCTGGGACTCAAACCAGAGGGACAGAGCAGCATCCTGCCCTGCGCTGTCACATGTCTGTCCCCACACTGTCACCCCATCCCCACACCACCCAGGGGTGTCAGGACCAGCAACACTCCAGTGCCACCAGGGCCCCCCCTGCGGCTGCCAGGGGGGTTAATCCCTGTAGCATGCAGTGGCCAGGGAGCAAGGGAGGCTGATGACAAATGACGAGTGCAAGAAGGGGAAGGAAGGTGGCAGGTTGGTGTGGAGCAGAGTGGGTGCAGCTGCAGGGTGACACTTGGGTACGGCGGAGCCCTCCTGATGGGGAGGTGGGCAACTGCTGGAAGGGGGCTGGGGCCACATGGCTGGGTTCCTCCAGCAGCACTGCTGCACTGGGGAGCTGTGCATTAAGGAGGAATGCAATGGAAAGGGAGCTGTGCAGTGGGAAGGAAGCCATGCAATGTGGAGCTGTGCAACGTGGTTCACCGGGGAGCAATGCAATATGGAAGGCATCATGCAATAGGAAGCTGTGCAACTGAGAGCAGTACACTGGGGAGCTGTGCAATAGGAAAGTCCTGTGTTCCAGACCCCTCACCAGCTTTGTTGCCCAACGTGTTCAGAGAAGGGCAACAAAGCTGGTGAGGGGGTCTGGAACACAGGCCATATGAGGAGAGGCTGAAGGAGCTGGGAATGTTCAGCCTGGAAAAGAGGAGGGGGAGACCTCGTTGCTCTCTATAACTTCCTGAAGGGAGGTTGTAGTGAGCTGGGGGTCGGCCTCTTCTCTCATGTCATTAATGATAGGACCAGAGGGAATGTTTTCAAGCTACGGCAGGGGAGATTCAAGCTGGACATTAGGAAGTATTACTTTTCAGAAAGGGTGGTCAGGCACTGGAATGGACTGCCCAGGGAGGTGGTGGAGTCACCGACCCTGGGAGTGTTCAAGGAAAGACTGGATGTGGTGTTGAGGGACGTGGTTTAGTGGGAGCTATTGGTAAGAGGCGAGCGGTTGGACTGGATGATCTTTTAGGTCTTTTGCAACCTTGGTGATTCTATGATTCTATGAATTTGCAAGTGGGAGCTGTGCACGGGGACAGAGCTCTGCAATGGAGATGGAGCTATGTAATGGGGAAGAAACTGCAGCGCAGAGGGAACCACGCACTGAAAAAGCTGTGCAACGACCGATCCGTGCAGTGGCTGATCTTTGCACCGGGGACGGAGCCACGCTGTGAGGAAGGAGCCGTAATGGAGCAATCCTTGCAATGGACAGCCAGCCGTGCCCAGGGGAGCAGCACAGCGTGAGGAGTTGTGCCGTGGGGCCGTGCAGTGGGGCAGCCCCTGGCCGTGCAGCCGTCCCCACACCGTTCCCACCCCGCCATGCCTGGCTGGGCCGCATTGGGCCATGCGGTGGAAACACAGCTGGGGGTGGGCGGCCCGCCGTCACCCCACCGTGACGGGGAGCAGGAGGCCGTGGGTCTGTGCCGCGCCCCGTGGAGCCCCGCGCCTCCATCCCGGCCCTGCAGCTCCACGTGAGCCCGCAGAGCCCCGCAGCACGGCGCCCGCTGCGAGCCCTGCGCCGTCCCCAACCTGCCATGCCACCACGGGTCAGCACGGTGCGGCACTGCGACATCACGGCCACGCTGAGAGCCCCCCGCCCGGCCTTCTGCGTGTGTGTGTGTGTGTGTGTGTGTGTGCGTGTGCCACGTGCGGCCAACCCCCCACAAAAGGCCGCGGGGCGGAGGGAGGAGGCGGAACGTTTTGGCAGCGGAACGTTCGTTCCGGGGCGCTGTGTTCCCGCCGGAACTCGCTCGGAACGGAGCGCCCCCTGCGCACTGCCGGCGCCGCCAGGTGAGGCCCTGGGGGCTGCGGGGCTCGGCGCTGCGCTGCGCTGCGGCCGGCCGGCTGGGAGGCGGGGGGCCGGGGCTGCGTTAAAAGGAGGCTTTAATTGCGAAGTAATTAACGTCTCGCTCTTCTGGCGGCGCACGGCCTGCTGGTGGTTCCCGCGCTCAGCCTCCTGCGGTGTGGGCCCTGCCCTGGGCGTGCCTTGCTGCCCTGCGGTGTGGGTTTGTGGTTGGAATATCGCAGGGAAAGGGGTTTTGCGGCTGTTCCTCGCTTGCCAGAGTGAGCAGAGGGAGGAGAACCTCTGCACCGGGGTTGGGCCTCCTCGGACCACCGGGCCTTTCCTCCTTCAGGGCACACGGGCTGTGCATTTCTGTCCTTACCACGACCCGTGGCGGTTCTGCAGTGCCAGGAGTTGATAGGAGCTCTCCACCCTGCTGTCCTTTTCTGCTCCAGCCCTGCAGGGCTGGGCCTGGACCATCTCTTCCAAGGCAGCGAGCACTCATAGGACATCACAGAGTGGTTTGTATTTGGAAGGGACCTCTAAAAACCACCTGGTTTCCTCTCCCTGCAATGAACAGGGACACACACAGCTCCAGCAGTGCTCAGAGCCCCTCTGGTCTGACACTGAGAGGGGCATCCACCACCTTTCTGGACAACATGTGCTACTGTCTCACTGCCTGTATGGTAAAAAATAAATAACCCTTCTTCCTTATATCCAGTCTAAATTTCTCCTTTTTTAGCATGAAACTATTAGCCCTTGTCCTGTCACAACAGAGCCTGCTGAAGTGTCAGTCCCCTTCCTTCTTATAGCCACCACTAGGTAAGGAAAGGCTGCTCTCAGATCTGCCTGGAGCCTTCTCTTCTCCAGGCTGAACAGCCCCAACTCCCTCAGCCTGTCCTTGCAGGGGAGGTGTTCCATCCCTTGGATCATTTTGGTGGCCTCGTGTCCACACTCCCACAGGCCAACATGTATCCTGTGCTGAGGACTCCGCATCTGGATGCAGTGCTCCAGGTGAGGTCTTACCAGCACGGAGTAGAGGACCACCATCCTCTGCCCAGGAAGATAGATGAGCACTTGTGTTGCTGATTATCTCTGAGCAAAGTAAAGCGAACGGCTCCGGTGTGCCCCTGCTCACACTGTCCCAAGTGTCTGTCACTGCACACACACACACAGTGTGTGAAGCCCATAAATGCGCAGGGCCAGCTGAAGGTGCTGCTGTTTATTGTTCCATTAAATCCGGACTGGCGCTGTGCTGGAACAGGGATAATGTGATTTTTGGAAGCTGCTGTTCTGAAGCAGCATCTAACACCTGCTCCAGAGCCTTGCGAGGAGAAGCAAGCATGCCAAGTGCACTTAGCAGCGCTGGACTGCAGCACGGTGTGATGCTGGCAGACGGTCACTTCCCATTAATGCCCCTCTTAATGCCTGGGGCATTAACATCTCGCCAGCACGCCAGTGCTGGGCACAGACTGGGTGGAGGCTATTTAATTGTGTTCTCTATTTTATATTTTAGTCTGTACAGAGAAATGGAAAGATATCATGCTAGTTTTGTCATGACCTGCTTTGTTTTTTTTCCATCCTTATGGTACAAGTCACGAGTGCACATGGGTGACACCCTTTGGGTTTAGAGCTTTGCCCCCATGTTTCCGCAGAAAATCACAAGTTTCTTTTGCAGAAGCAGAAATTGAGGTTGATATGCAAAAGAAAATGCGTGTAAAGCAGCTTCCGCTGGGAGAAATGCTCTGAATGCGGATGAGAGAGTCTGCAGGGCTTGCAGCCACCTCTCTGCAAAAGCAAACACTGAGAATCATAGAATGGCTTAAGTTGAAAGGGACCTTAATGATCAACTAGTTCCAAGCTCTGCACACAACACTTGTTGCTGTCACTGAAGTATCTGAGCTTCGCCTGAGCTCAGCTCTTCCCTGAGTCGCTGCCAGCTCCCTGCATCCGTTTTGTTCCAGCTCCTCCCCATGGTGGGAAGCTGAGCTGGGAGCTGTTGGTGGAGTGGCTTATCACGATGTTATAAAAATCACAGTTGCCAGCATCAAGGAGATATCGTGTACTATCGCCTGAGCTTCCACCTGCAGCTCCAGGCTCTGTGCAGAGGGAATTTTTGGATTTGAGGTGGCTCCTCAGCCCTCTCAGTCTGTCACATCTTCCTCTTGTCTCTGGCACACCAGTGGACTCCCTTGCAAGGTGTTCCTGTGGCTGAGGCATCCATCTCCCCATTATGTTCTTGCAGGTTTGCAGTGCATTCACTCTCCCAAATGCTCCTGTGAGATGATCCAAGTGCTGGCCAGAGTTACCACACAGCCTTTTCTCTTTGAAAGGTGACAAAACATTTCTGCCAGCCTGTGATCTTCCTATAATCAAAACATCTAATGAATGGTAAGCTTTCAGTGGTGCTGGTGCTCCTTCCAGCTCCCTTCTGGAGCTTTTCTCTGTTGAAAAACCTTGTCACAGCGAGGAAGCCAGGCTGAGTGCCTGGGTCGAGCTCTGCACCAGTGGCACAGCTGAGCTTGGCGCTTTCAGCAGCACTAGAACAAACCAGCAGCTGTTGCTTGCTGGGAAAGCAGCTGCGTGGCGAAGGCTCTGCTGCCTGTGGCTGCCCGGTGGTTGTTAACCTCCTGACTGGTCTGTCGTGTAAGGAAGCTTTAGAGCCAAAGCAATGCTTGTGATGGATGGGCCGTCAGGTCACGGGGGCTGAATGCTTGCCTGTGCTTTGGTGTGAGATTGCTTGTAGGAAGCAAATCTCTGCTGGGCAGGGGCTTAGGGGGCTTGGTGTTTGTGTCTCGGTGTCAAACTCTGAGCACAGAGTGGGGCAAGTGTGAAGAAAAGTGCAAATTGAGAGTGAGTTACCACTGTAATTATTTAACTTCTTAAGGTGTTGGTCAACTGAGTTAGAATGGCAATGCAGGTAGCCATTGCTCCATGTCCTAATATTACGGATCGATGAAAACTATTTTGTAGTTTAAGTTAGATTGTTAGGTTGCTCAGGGAAGGGTCTCTGAGTCCTGTTCTATCTGATCAGGGCCTCGCACGCTGGGGATATAGCAGTCTGAACCATAAACATTAATAATACAGTGGGTATTATTCAAATGAAAGCTGCCACTTTTCCTTTGTGGGAATAAACCCCTGGGTAATGGCTGCTCATACTTATCTGTTCCTATAATTGCTTTCTGCAGAATCACTCCAAAAGAAGCTCTGCTGGCAGGATGCTGCTCTCCCTGCTCTCCCCCCGCGTGAGCTGGCCTGCACGATGCCTCCTCTGTGACTTGCACCGCTGGGGGCTGCATGGGCAGAAGAAGGCTGACTCTCCCCGCAGAGGTGTGCAAACCACATGGACAGCCAGCAGCCACCACGTCAGCCCTGTCTTCACGAGGGCTTTGACTTTCGGTGATAAAGTCGCCGTTGTTGACCAAAATGGTGAGCACACATACAAGGAGCTTTTCTGCCAGAGCCTCCGCTTGTCCCAGGAGATCTGTAGAGTCCTGCAGTGCTCCAGCAGGGACTTGAAGGAGGAGAGGATCTCGTTTTTGTGCCCCAATGATGCCTCGTATGTGGTTGCCCAGTGGGCTTCCTGGATGAGTGGAGGCATAGCAGTTCCCCTTTACAAGAAGCACCCTGTGCAGCAACTGGAGTACGTGATTGAGGATTCGCAGAGCGCTCTCGTCATCGCAACAGATGAATATGTGGGGAAAATATCCCCCAGTGCTGAGAAGCTGGGAGTCCCAGTGCTGCCATTCAGGTTTCGTAGCAATGGATCTGCAGATCATACAGCAGTGGAAGATGTGCCCTTGGCATCCAGTGCTTCCTGGAAGGACAGGGGAGCCATGATAATCTACACGAGTGGGACAACGGGGAGACCAAAGGGTGTCCTCAGCACCCACGAGAATGTGCAGGCGGTGGTGAGTGCTGCTTTCTGTGCAATGCTCATGCTGAGTTAGAGGTCTTGTCCTTCCCAGGTGATTTGGCATAACACACCTGATTTCTGCACAGAGCTATGGGGCTGTGTGCTGAAAGTCCCCAGCGCTTCTGAGCTGAGCACAGGACTCAGTGTTTGAGGCTCTGAACCTCGTGCTGTGGTTGCAGCCAGGGGCATGGCTTCTGCCTCCTTTCTTGGAAAGCAGCAGATGTGAGACCTGTTGTAAAAGGACTGCTTTCTTTGCAATTTTCTTTTCTTCACTGTGACTAGCAAGGTATCTTTGCCCATAATTGGAATATAACTTAGCCCAGCACTGCACAGTGCTGTGTGAAGTCTGTGCATTATTTAGCTATATATCCCCAAGGCAAAAAATCCATTAGCTCTCTGAGCCAAAAGGAATTAAAAGTTTGAATGAGCCTGCTGACTACCTCACCAGTTTGTTATCACTGCCTGCAACCGATAGACTCATGCCATTAGGGAAAAAGAGCAGGGAATACATGGTGCCTTATGGACACGTCGTCGAGCTCACGCCTTTCTGGATGCACAGATACTGCAGTGGCGGGTGCAGTAAGAGAGCCTTGATGGATAGAGCCAGGGCTTGGCTATATCGGGCAAAGAATCTGTTCCCTTACAAATATGCTGATCATTTGGGAGGCAGCCGAAGCACTGACTGTCTTTGGTCCTGTCTCACAGAAAGCTCCCTGCCCTGTGGGAGGGGGTTGCGAATGGCATGACCAAATTCCACTGATTTTTATTTTTAGAGAGCTGGAAATAAGCTCTCCAGTTGCTAACGTTGGGCTCTGAAGAACTTTGTTCCAAACAGAAGCCTGAGGTCTAACACTTTTAAATACCCTGTTGTGAAAGGATAATTAGAAGTTTGATATATATTCTGTCTATTCTCTTCATGGGGCACCAATTTCCTGCTCCCACTAGTTATCCCTTACACATGTGAGAAGAGCAATGTCATCAATGTCCAAACTGTGTCAACTGAGTTCTGGAATGTTTCAGGTTTTATGTAATATTTCTGCAGCAGGCTTATGATTTTATGGGTCCTACTTAAAGTCATCGCTGACTTAATTCTCAGTAGCAAGGAATGTCTGTGATCTATGTGAACACATATGTTGAAAAAGTGCAGAAGAGGTTCCCCGTGAATGCTTTACGGTGGTAATTCTGCTCCTGCTGGCCCTAAAGAAGGGATTTTTGTGTCCAAGTGTTGTTCTGGGAGTAGTGGGATTTCTGGCACCAGCTGTGCAGGGAGATGCTGGGTGGGTTGGGTACCTCGTGCTGGGTGAAGCTTTCCTCCTGCCCTGACATGAGATTACATGTCTTTTTCCATAGACCACAGGGCTGGTTGAAAAATGGGAGTGGAAGAAAGAAGATGTTATTCTGCACGTGCTGCCTTTGCATCATGTCCACGGGGTGATCAATAAGCTGCTCTGTCCTCTCTGGGTGGGAGCGACATGCATCATGCTGCCCGAATTCAGCGCGCAGATGGTAAGCCTGGAGGGATTGTGTGTTGTCTTTGAAATTCAGCAGCAAGACCCCATGTGCTGTAATTAGAGCAACTCTGCAAAGAAGTTCTTAAACAATTCCAACCTCTTTGGCTGCTGGTTGCCTACGGTTCACAAACTGATAAAAACCCTTTCTGTTGGATGCTCGGGTTGGGGTAGGTGTGCTCTGCTGGAGGTTACAACTTGTTTGAGTGTGACAGACATAAACACAACGCTGTGCTGCTCCTCCTTGGTGTGTTGAGGGTCTCATGTTGGGGGTGAGCTATTCTCGGTACCCATTAAGATCATCCACATCCAGAACAAGGGCTGTTAATTTTCTGGTACAAGGAGAAAGGTGGAAATATTGGATTTTTCCCTTGCACGTTGGCAGTGAGCTGCCTGAAGCTGTACTGTTGGTTAGATATTTCATTTTTAGTAGCTTGCATTTTCCATGTCCTCGATGTTTTGTGTTACATTACATGACAGAACACAGACTTCAGAGTTTCTTACAGCCTGGGTAAGAGAAATACTAATACATGTCACTTGCATAGAAACACTGCTCTTGAGCTGTAGAGGTACAAGTGTAAACAGATCTGTCAGTTTAGACGTAGCAATGTAAGTGAGAGTTTGCAAACTGAGAGCTGCTTGCAGTTATGCAGGAAAGGTGACAGGAGGGAAACCTTATTTATAAGTGTGCTTCTGCTGCATTTAGTACTGTTTGCTGGCCAAGACAGGAGGCACCAGTCTGAGTGCTCTGCTTGTATTTTGTTCCTTGCCCGTGGTGGCAGGTAGCTGACTTACCAAGAAGATGAAAAGCAGCAACCAGCAGTGAAGTAGAACAGCTTCTACAGTTACTGGCTCCTGGGAGCTGGCACTGTTCATCTACATCCCCTGATATTGGTGGTGCTGTGAGAGGCACTGGAGTTCTGGTTTGCTCTGAGATGAGCAGTGTCACTATTAAGTGAGCAATTTCAGGTCCTGGTGCCACCTCATAGCAGAAAGGGGACCTGCTTTGTCAGTGGGCAGCTCCTTGGAACAAGTGATGAGAGCTGTCAAGCCTGTGCTTTGTGGCTGAACAGGCTATTTTATGTGTCTGTGTTTATTCATGTGCCAGGCAGCTTTGTCATGCTGAAAGGACAAAGAGCAAATGCACAGGGTGCACCCAGAACGCACCCCTTGATGCTGTGACTCTTTGGTGGAGCTGAGTTTGGACTCTGATCTGAGTGAGCTGATGACCATGTGATTCTTAGCTGCTTATTTCTGCTTCTCAGAGAGGCAACCACAGAAAATGTGCACTTCCCTTCTTGTTTCAAGATGGCCCTGGCACCTGAAAACCCCACTGGTGGCTGAGCACCAGTTCTTCCAAGGGGAACAGCCCCAGAATCACAGAGGGGCAGCTCTGCATTCACATCTCCAGAAGGATGCTGTTGTAGAGGAAGGCAGTGAGGTCCCCTGGCAGCTGGAGCTGGTGATATCTTCTTGATAGTCGCTGCCTAATTTACCTGCTGCCATCTTAATGGTGTCACCCCAAGGAGCATTCTGTGCACACAGCTTGGGGTGCAGCAGGGATGTGCGTCCTACCAAAGCCAGGGCTCTGTGCTCACAGCTTGGGGTGCAGCAGGGATGCATGCCCATCAGACCCAGGGCTCAGAGCATTGTCCAGGCATTGCTAGGAGGCAGCTGGTGTGGAGCAGAGGAGCGTGCCGATAGCCTGGAAGCAAAGCCAAGCCCTCTGGAGGGCGCGTTTCTCCACATCCTGTGCCACTGGTGATTGATCGTCCCTTATACCCTTGTGTTTTTCTGTGCTCTCTTCCCGACATCTGCAAATCAATGAGCTGACATTGAAGGATGGGTCCGGGTGCCTGCAGCAGGGTGCCTGCCTGCTGCCTCTGATCAAAGCCCTCTGCTGGAGCCGGCAGTGAGGGCGAGTGAGGACAGCACCAGGGCCATCACACTGACCCTGGAGGTTGGACTTGGGCAGAGGTCGGCGTGGTGAGTGAAGTTCCGGGGGCTCTCAGGTGCACTTGGGCTCTGAAGGACATCATTTGCTTTTCTATTCTTTTTATTCCCTTTATTTTTCCGAGGGCCTCCCCTGGGAGCTGAAAGTGGTTTGATCGACACTACAAAGAAAGCACATGAGGGTAAATAAGGCTTTCTTGTGGAGTTTAATGCAAGCTGCCTTTCAGTTCCAGTCTATTTTCACCAGCTGTTTACAAAATACCCTTTGCTACTGAAATCAGCTTTCAGAGTTTCAGTGGAGGATTTTGCAAAAGGAGCCCGAGTTTTGCTGTGCGCTTTTTCTCTTGGTTGCACCTTGAGAAAGCAGCCAATTATAGTGTGATATAAAGAAACCCGGATGGCAGCTAAAACACTTGACAGCCTGATCAAAACAAGGCTGGGAACTTACTCTCAACCTGCTGCAGGCATATTTAGCCTTGAGTGATACTGGCATGGGTTCAAGAGAAACCGCAACAGCATACCCGATGTGTGTTTGGTTTCTAATCACTAACACTTCATTATACAAAATAAATACTTTATTATTACAGCCTTTATTAAATTACATAATTTGTGGTGTGCCTTATAGTCGGATACTGATGCCAGTCTGGTTCCAGCGGTGGTAACAGTGCTCTTTATTTTTTCCCCTTGTTTAGAAGGCGCTCTGAGCCCCAGGCCAGGACTTGTCACTCCCTACATCTTTCAGCCCCTTCCGTCTGGTTTTTGGGAACTGTCCAAGGAAAGGTTAAAAATCAAACTGTAAAATAACCTCCGTGTCCTGACCAACATCCACTCTCTCACCAAAACAGCATCTGATGCCCAGGGCTGCGTGCGAGCTATTGCTGAGGCCACAGGGGCTCATTAAAGTGTATTGAGCTGCCTCAAGCGTGAAAGTTGCTGCATAAAATCAGATTCTTTTTATTAAATGAGGACATCCATTACTTTGCACCAGCTACTGTACATGTTATAATTCACTTTATAGCACCATCTGTTAAGGCTGTCTCGCTTAAGCTTTTTGCAGCATCTTTTTATTGTAAGTTATTAAAAAATATGGCTGCATCTATTAATCATTTATTAATAAAGGGTTTATAAATGGACCCTTACTTTCCAGCAGCACAGTCAGTTCATCCACGCTGTGCAAGTCCCCATTGCATGGGCTGCAGTGTGATGCTGGGAGCCCCCCCAGCTGCTGCCTGCCCTGGGGGCCACGGGAGCAGCACCCAGCACTGCAAGAGTGCTTCACTGCTTGGAAGGGACAGCTCTGAGCACAGTGACATCTCCGTGCTGCTGTGGGCATGCACAGTGGGCAGAATGGCATCTGAGAGCTCATTCCTCCCAGCAGCTGTGTGGGGCGAGGGCAGCTCTGATGTTATTTTTGTTTTCAGCTGAGCGTGAGAACGGGGAGGGCAGAATGTGCTTTGAAGTCAGAGCGAGCTGCAGCCGAAGGATCCCTTTGTGGTCCTCCTGGCAGAGCTTGCTTCCAGGCTGCATGTTTCTCCAGCTGCATGCAGGCAGCCAGCATTTCCCAGTGACTTCTGAACCCACACTTACAAAGTAGGGGCACCCTGAGCCCACTGGTTTTTGGCCAGTGTGGGTTCATTCTGAGTTTGGACAGTGAGAACTGCTTGTCTTGCCTTGGGGCACTTGCTGCTCCTGCCTGGACAGGAGAGGGCAAATGCTTAAGGGATGAATGTTCAGTTGAGAAAGGCTGTCAGCTGGTTGCATTCAACACAAGGTCAGATCCTGGTAGCTCTTCAGCAGGGGGGATGGAGGAAAGTTTTAGGAATCTGAACTCACTGTGGTCCGTGCTGCCCCTTTGGCTCTACAGGTCCTGAGCTGCACTGCCTGCAGAGTGACAGCTGTGTCTCTGCCCTGCAGGCACTTTTTGTTGGTAAGCATGTTGAGATGCAGATTTGTCACCCTAAAGTTGTTTTGGTGCCAGAGTCACTGCGGCTGACTCTGTGTCTCAAAGGTTTGTACCTTCTAAAAAGCCATGCCCTGTTTTACAGCGAGGTGAGGGCTGGGTGCTGCTGCCTTGTGCCTCTGTTTGGTTGCATTGTGAGGTCCCATGGCACAGGAGCACTGTTGCCTGCAGGGAGGAAAAGCATGCACCATGGTCCTGAGCCTCTCCCCATGATCTGTCACTTTTGCAGACACCAGCCTTGGTGGTTTAGGGATTATTTTTATAATCAAAGCGAATGCAAGCACACAGGGTTCTGATCTGCAATAACCAAGCACCAGAAGGACGGTGTGCTGGGATTGCCTGCCCCATACTGTTTCAGCTGGAGCAAGGCACTCCTCTTTTCATTCTGCTCCAGACTCAAAGAGGAGGCGGTGAAGGGAGGAGCAGGTCGCTGCTGAATGGGTTGTGTTTGATCACTTCTCACAGACCTGGCTTTCAAAAGTTAGTGTTTTTCTTCCTGTCTCCCCAGCTCTGCCGTCTGTCCTCAGCATCTGCTCGGGAGTAATGTCTTTTCATGTGTGTGGGGAGAAAGAAGAGATGGAACCGGAGCCTGTCATATTTACTTATATTCCTGGGTCCCAGGGAAGGCACTTGCTCCTTTCAGTATGCCTGCAGCACAGGAAGGGTTTAAAAGCTTCAGCCTGGAATACAGAGGGGCCATCAAACTGCACTGATGAATAAATGATTAAAACCAGAGTCGCGTGGAGCACAAACAGTTTGGGGTTGCAACACACACGAGGCGAAGCCACCAAGGGCCTGGTTTCCCTTTGAAGAGAGGACTGTTTCCCTTTGTGCATGCTGCTCCCCAGCAGCAGCTCTGTTTGGCTGCAGCCACTGTTGCTCTCACACAGATCGGCGGGCAGCGCTACCTGCATGCAGAGATCGATGCCCAACACAAAGCCAGCTCCTGGATCAAAAGGAGAAGTAAAAGGATGATTTAACCTTGCATTAGAGGTATTGTTGCTGCTGAAAAGGTTTAAAAAAAAATAAATAAATTCGATAACCACTGAAAATGATACCATAATTTTATAAAGGAGAGAGGAGCTGTTGTGTCTGTCAATAGAGGTAGCGGTACGGGTCGTCTATTATCTGTTTGGGTTTAATGGGAAAATCCATGCTGATTTTTGCTTTCCTTTCAGCTTTTAGGCATTTTTGCCCACGTCTCTTCTGGCTTCTTTTGCATCAAGCAAAGGCTGCCTGGACTTAGCATGCAAATCGCCACTGCCACCTTCTCCTTTCCTCTGCATTAGAAGGTGCCCAGATAGATCTGCTGGTTTCTGTCTGCTTTATACCATCACACGTTTCCCTCTGAGGGCAAAGGCTCTGTTAAGGAAGGAAAAATTGCTGCCTTTTCTTCTCTGTGCTGCATCCCTTCCTTCAGGTGACGTTAGCAGTTCTGGATGCAGGCTGGGGAGGCTGCTGCAGGGAAGGACAGTCTATGGGAGCAGCTTGTGTGTTCCTCCTGCCTCATTCACCACCGTGCCATCTGCATGCTGTAAGAAATACGTGGGAAAATCTTGCAGCTTTGCCTCACTGGGATTGTTTTAGACCCGCTGGTGTCATTTTTTCCTCTCTCTCTCTCTCTCTCTTTTTTTTCCCTCTCATTTCCTGCTGGCAAAATCCCACCGGCCAGCCCATGGAATTGCCCAGATATGCTTTTGTGCAGTGGGAGGGGAAGAAAATCAGGAATGTCAGAGGGCTCTTGGGAACAGAAGGTCTTCTGCTTTGCTGGCTCAGGCAGCCTGTCCTGTAAGCCAGCAGTGCTGTGTGCCTGCCCTGGGCTTTTGCTGCCATCATTGCTGATGGGAAGCTGTACCCATTCTTGTTTTCTTGCAGCTAGAAACTGTTTGATTCAAGCCCTTGTTCATCTTAAAGGGAGTTCAGGTCCACTCCACACCATCTCATGAACGTATTCCATCTGAAGACTGGTACTTCCTTGTGCTTTGCACTGTAGTGATGATGTAAAGGCTCAGTGTTACAGCCAGAGGGCTGTGCCCCACTGAGCATCCCCAGAGCCAGGCTGGTGGGTGGTGGCATCTCTGAGCTCCCTGCAGGCAGGCAGAGCAGGGGATGTATTTGTGACAGAGGTCTCAGGTGAGCAAAATAAAAGAAAACAGTCTGCAGGTGATTGATGTGGTGACAGTGACACGTTGGGTAACAGAGAGGGAGAGATGGATCTCACTGCTCTAAACCTGACGGTGTCAGTGGATGCTGTGTGTGGGAAGGGCAAAGCTGGCCCCTAGCTGGAGGCCATCCAAGTCCCCGTCTTGATCGATTAGTCCCAGGTAATGAGGCTTTCCCAGATCCTTCTCTTAAACCATGAAGTTCTAGTTATAAAGCAGCAATAGCTGTTTCAGCTGGCTGGGCAGCAACAAGCCCTCTGGACGCCTGTGGGTCTGCAGAGAGCTGGGGGCTGCCAGCCTTGTGCCGCAGCTCGGTGCTTAGCGCTGCTACAACACATGGTGGGGATCCAGATTTGGCTGAGCAGCAGCAGAACAGGTGGGGATGTTTGGCTGTCAGCAGATCGGCCCAGCAGCGGCTGGTGGCACGCATCCAAAGGCAGCTGCTTATCTTCAGGAAGGGGCTGCTGCTGGGGCGAGTCGGGCTGACACAGAGCTGCTCCCATCGCCAGGATGGTGGCACAAAGGGTTTTATCTGGGGCAGGAGCTGAGCAGATGTGCGAGGACAGGGGATCCTGGGGTGCAGCAGAGAGCTGTGTTTTGGAACGATGTCGTTGTGTGTTTGTTTGCTTTGTTGTTGGTGGTTTTTTTTAATCCAAATGCATGTGAAAATAAATCTGCTGCACAGCCAGTCAGACTGGAAGTCTGCCCGCGCTCCCCACAGCTGCTCTGGGCTTCTGCAGGCAAATCACACGGCGAGGATCGAGCAGCTCCAAACGTCTGTCTCCCATCAGTTCTTTGGCACAGGCCCGGTGCCTGCTTGCTGTCACCTGTTCCCCTGCCCAAGGCAATGGCTCTATGGAGCACCGGGGAGAGAGGAGCAGATCCCTGGCTTTGGAGATCTCTCTCTCTCTGTACTGCTGCCTCAAATGGGAAAAATGCTGTGAGGCTGAAGAGAAAAAGACCTTTGGGGAGAGAGGCTGGGAGACGTATAGTAGATCCTTCTCAATGCAATTTTGCCTATTCTGCTTTCATTTAGGGCTTCGTGCTGGCAGGGGTGCCTGCAGTGTCAGGGCACGGCTGTGTTGTCGGTCACTGCAGACACACTGCATTCCTTTTCTGCTCCTCTCAATGCCCAGAGGGGCTCACAGTAATTGTGTCCCAGCTCCCCTGGCTCTGGGGGTGTCCTTAGGTCCCAACCCCATGGCTGGTGGCTTCCCAATATGTGCATCCCTCGGGTGGGACACTGCCTCTGTTGGATGTGTAGGGCTGCATTAAGAACAACGTGGTGCCGACAGGGTTTTTTAGGGGCTGATTGTTCTGAAGCAGCCAAGTGAGAGCCGGCAGGGAGAGGTGGTGCTGGTGCAGTGAAGTAGAAAGTAATGAAATGGAGCCCGAGCGAGCAGGACGGAGGGGAAAGGGGCAGCACACACAGCAGCACCCGGGGTGACAGCATGAAGGAGAATCACTTGTTCACCTCCAATCAATTCATGCTTTTTTTCACCGCCGCACGCGCCTGTGTGCAGCTGAGCGTGTGCTGGGAGGGAGGCAGGGGAGGCGAGCAGTGTCAGGAGCTGTTAGGAAATACATTTGTCAACAACAGGGCAGGGAGAAAGGAGAGAGGCGGCCGTTGCTGGAGCTGAGCGGGCCAGAGCCATTTATTTATTGATGGCTTTGTATCGTTCCTGTCTTGGGGAGAGCTCACCTAGGGGGAAGAGTGACAACGTGTGGAAGAAATGGCTCTAATTTCAATATTTATCTCTGTTTGTTGCTAACTGCTCCCACGTGGAGCTGCTCAGCCAGTGCAATGTCTGGGGTCACTCATTCCTCTCCAGCAGAGCCAGCTCCTGGACTTTGGTTCAATTGATGGGTCCTCAAAGCTTTGGGTCCCTGGGCTCCTACCTGCTTGCTGTGTTCCTTGTGTGTGACTCTGTCTTTCCTCTCTGGAAAGCTGGCAGCTTTGTGTAGCCTTTGAAGAGTTCTGTATGTTCACAGAATTCACTGCTTCTGCTCTGGGCTTTCTCCATCAGCAAGTGCTTGGCTGTAACACGATGATATCAAGAAGTGCCATTTCCATCTTGTGATCATTGAGCGTGAAAGTGATGGGTGATCCCTTGCTGAAAAAAAGCTGGGAAGTTGGCACTGACAGTGCTGACCATCGCTTCCCTCTACTCTTTATATTTGGGTATATATGTATGTATATATGTTGCCTCTTTCCTAGGTTTGGAAGAAGTTCTTGAGCTCCCAGGCTCCCCGTGTCAGCGTCTTCATGGCAGTGCCCACTATCTATGCCAAGCTGATAGAATACTACGACGAGCATTTCTCTCAGCCCCAAGTGCAGGACTTTGTGCGTGCCTTTTGCCAGGAGAACATCAGGTAGGTGGGCAGTGCACGTCCTGCTGCCCCCAGCTCTGCACCAGGCAGGGGCTGCTGTGGCTGTTGCATCAAGTTTTCTTTTGGACTTCACCTCCTCACTACCAGGCAGGTTGTAGGGCTGTACGATCTCTCTGACAAGAGCAGGGGTGACATTATTTAATTATGAGCTACTCTTGCGTGGTAAAGCCAGAACGGGTCTGCATGCTTATTATACGTGTCACCCTACATGATACAAGACTAAGAACTTCATCCTGCAGCCCACAGATCCCTACAGATGCTGCTGCTTGTGCTGCAGAATCTTTTTTAGGAGGCCATCCTGTCTTAACTTAAACCCTCCTATTAGACAGAGAAGCTCTTCTGCATGAGGAATATCTTTGACACTGGCTGAAGGCTTTTGGGTTTTGTAGGATGTTACGTACATGCAGGCTTTACATAACATTTTGTTGGAATGAAAACTTCTTAGATGCTTTCTTATATGGTGTTCCATGTGCAGGTTGATGGTGTCAGGCTCTGCAGCACTGCCTGTGCCCGTCCTGAAGAAGTGGAAGGCCATCACTGGGCACACGTTGCTGGAGAGGTATGGGATGACAGAGATTGGGATGGCACTTTCCAACCCTCTGCATGGAGTCCGTGTCCCAGGTAGGAGTCTCAAGGAGGTGACACCAATCACAGATGTTTTGCTATCAAGTGTTCTTGTTTATTCTCACCATAGAGAACACACATCTAATCACCATTTGTCATAACTGGGGAGCAGACTGTGTTGTGAGCAATGATGCTGGTAGAGGAACTGGCATTGGGAAGATAGGACAAGCCACAAGTGTGTGTGCAGAGCTTGCAGTGATACACACCAACACAGCCAGGCCAGGTCTGTCCTGGAGGCAGAGTACACACTTAATGTACTCTGCTTGATGATTTCCAAAGTCTTAATGAATTCAAACACTGTGATGGGATGGCATCTTCAGCTTCTGCTTTGTGAAGTTGTATTTGCATAGGATGTTGACACAGGGCTCTCCACGGAGCAGCTCATGTCCCACCAGTCAGTACTGAACATTTAAAATAGGGTGTCTGTTCACTCTTATTTTAGTGCAAGTTTCTTGACTCTTCAGGAATTAGAAATTGTCACACCTCGTCGTACGCTCTGGCTCTGTTCTCTCCTTGTCTTCCCTCACTTCTCTTAGCTACACTTTGTGACTCCTCTCAATATCTGTAGTTTTATGTAACCTAGAAATAAATTGATCTGAAACATTAAAAATATAAAATGCCCCCACCCTCCCTTTGGTTATAAACGTGGCCATCTGTCTGACAAGCAACCCAGCCCACCACTATGCCACCTTCTCCTCCCCACATGCTGTCTGCACATGCATGGCACCATATGCATCATTTTGGTCTCTGCTCTCCTGGGGACCGTTGTTGCCCAGGTGGGACTGTCCTGTGCCCTGTGGCTTCCCCTCACACCCCAGTCCTGCTGGTTGTAGCAGCTGGTGCTCTTGAAGGGATTGCACAGGGTGAGGAGAAGCCACAGCTTCCCCCAGCATTGGCTCCTGAAACTGAAAACAGCTTGGGGGCAGCGCAAAATACAAAGTGCAGTTAACTTCTGCAGTGTAGTTGTGAATCCCCCAGTCTGGCCAGTGCTTACTTGTATGCTGGAGAAGGGAAACTCAATTCCCACCTGCATGAGCTTGAGCTCTGTGTGAGCCCTAAGGTGTAGGATGGTGGTTTGAGGTCGTTTGGATGTCACAACAGCCTTGTTATATTTGCTTTTTATTTCATCTTTAGTAGGGGAAATGAGTGGAGGCTCTCAATCTCCCTGGAGACAAAAAGGCTGTGTGGATAAGGCAGAAATGGACACCAGGAAAGGCAGTTTTAATTCCAGAGATGTGTCCACGTGCTCTTGAGCAGAGGCAGTGTGTAGCCTCTGGCATTACCAGGTCTGTAGGGGACATGGGGACAAATAATCTCATACAGCTGCAAGCAGAGGAGCTGGGATAAAGGCTAAGTGTCTGTCACACAGCCACTGAGCTGGGGCTCACTGCAGCCCCACGAAAGGGGAGAGAAGAATCTCACAAAGGTGTGGATCAGCCAGGAACCTTACAGACAGAAGGCTATGACTGAATAGGCTTGATTAATTTATTTCAGGAAGTGTCAGTTGGGAAGCAGATGGGTGCAGCTGAGGCATAATTTACTGGAGCTGTGAAAAGCTTTTGATATAGTACCCCATTAGAGGCTGGGATGTAAGGTCACCAGGTACAGCAGAGTATCCACCATGAATGAGTCAGCTGAGAAATGCAGCAGTGGCTGAGGCAGGAGGAGCAGTGAGCTTCCTGCAAAACAGTGTTCTGGGGACAGATGCTAGGCAGCAGCTGACAGCAGACCCACTTGCTGGCCACAGCTTTATTTTAGCACAAAAGAGTGCAGCAAGCATGGCCAGGCAGCAAGGGCTGTGCTGGAGGAGCCCTGTGGTTGCAGCGTACTCATAAGGAGATGCTGGAGATGGAGCCTCAGCAGGCATCAGCGTGTTAAATACAATGCAAGAGCTTGCTGGGCATGGCCAGAGCTGAAGAAGCAGATATTGAGGTTGACTGGGATGACTTTAGTGCCTGAGTTAGGGGTTGGCAACCCACTGCAGGGGTTGGAACTGAACGAGCTTTAAGGACCCTTCCAAGCCAAGCCATTCTATGACTTCTATGGCTTTGTGACTTCAGAAATTTCTCTCAGTAACATTCCTTGCCACTGGAAAGCATCCATCCAAAGGTGATCCATCCCAGCCTTCAGATGCAGATTCCCTTGGTTAGGTAAACCCAAGGACCCTCACGGCTGCCAGTGGTTTTCTCTCAGAGCAGAAGCAGCACACATCCTGCTCTGCTGCTTCACGACCTTCATTCTGCCTCTGAGGAGAGGTGCTGGGATTGTCCTGCCCTCCTCCACCCCCTGGTGGGGTTGGGGAGGGGCAGAGCCCTCCATGTCCAACAGGTGTCCTTGGTGCTGTGGCACTGCCCCATAGGGCGCAGATCCAGAAGGCCAGGGGAGGGGGGGGGAGTTCTCATTTCCTGAAGAAGAAAAGATGAAAGATTTGAAAGATAAATGTTTGCTTGTATATGGTTAAAACCCTGCTTAAAATGCCTCTGTTTTCACCAGCTCTCATTCTAATCCCCCTGGTGCTGTTACTGTGAAGGGAGATGAATAATTCATGGATGGAGAATGCCTCACTGGGCCTAATCACCACTTTAATTGGAGGTTTAGATCAGAGGCAGCTAATAGCTCCTACAGCAGGGACTCGGTGTATTGTTGACAGTGAGATCGCTGAGTGCCTTATCGTTGGCCTGTTTCAATTCTCCCAGGACAGCACTGCACATAACAGCATCAAGGTCCCCAGATACCGGAGGACACAGACCGCAGGGCCAATTAAATTTATCTGGGAAGAGCTGACAACTTTTTTAAACAGAAGAGAGCCTGTGAGGAAGAATAATGGTGTCAGTCCTTCTTGACTGCAGCCTGACAGTGTGAACGTGCTGCCAGCTTTGCTGAGCATCCTGGAGTGTGCAGGCTGGGAAGAGCTGGAAGGGCACAGGAAGGGGAAAGAGCAGGGAGTGCTCCTGGTTCCACTTCTGAGAAGTGGGCAGTGCTGAGTTTTGACTCCCTTCTGATGACACCTGATTTGGGTCTCATATCCTCTCCCTGCAGAACCCAGGCTCAGGCTGGAGGGGCTCTGAGCACTGATGGAGCTGTGGGTGTCCCTGTTCATTGCAGGTAGTGGAGCCAGGTGGCCTTTAGAGGTCACTTTCAATGCAAACCATTCTGGGATTCTCTTGCTGTGCCTTTGCAACCCGCACAGCCAACCACTGAGCTCTGGACTTGGCATGGTGTGTGTCTTAACACATCATGGTACATACATGGCGTGTGTCTTAACACGTCATGATGTGTGTTTAACACATCACCTAGGCCTGAGGAGCTCTAGTCATAGCCTGTGCACAAATTGTGTCAGTGCTGACAGCCCCCTGTAGCTCTGATCAATGCTGGGAGCGTTTTCAGCCTTTACAGATATCCATTTGCATGTTTATCATTCTTTCAAAATGCCAAAAAACTTCCAGGCTGAACATAAGGATACAGCTCCCCACGTGGGTCTGATTTTACGTGTTGGTTCTGCTTTAGCCAAATGGTTGTCTCTGTATTTGTTTGGAGGAATTGTGTTGGTGTTTGATATTTCATTCTCAAAGACTGAGACCAGAAGTGACCACTGTCATTCAGTGCTGCTGCCCATGGGTCAGTCTGTTGTGTCCTGCATTGAGGCTGGCAGCTCGCATACAGCAAAGGAGCATCTTCCAGGAAGGCACTGATCTGATCTTAATGCAAAGGCTTCCAGGGCTGGCAAACCTGTGGGAGTCTGTGGCAGCTCACTGGGCTGCCTGCTGCTCCCTTCCCTGAGCTCTGTGAGACTTCATTTACTCGCAGTGTCTGCCTGCTGTCTCTTGCCATGTCCTTCAGCCAGGTTTGGGGCTATCAGCACGAGATGTTTTTCACATGGGAGAAAACGTTCCCATAGAATTCTAGAAGGTGGCCTTGGCAAGCTTGATGTGCAAACATTTGGCTTGTTTTCCGTGATTTATAGCTTGCTTTGAGTACTCTTGGAGTCTCGTGGCAGGTACAAAACTCTGCTGAAAATATATAAATACCTCTCCCTGGCAGCTCAGTGGCACCTCAGCTCCTGGTGAGAAGAACAGAGCACACCTCTCCCTCCTGCTCTGCTGCAGGTCCCTGTCCTGAGCTTCTGGCAGTGAGTTTGGCTGTGTCAGAGCAGCCCTGTGGCAGGAGAAGGACCTGGCTGCCTGCAGTAGCTGATCTAAATGCCAAAGGCAGTCTCAAGCTGAACAGACACATGTCACGGACCTGCCATGTAGCTTTCTGTTTATTTCTTGCCAGATTTGTTAATTGTTAGGGTAGTTTTGCTGCAATAAAATCTCACTCCCTCGTAGCCCATCTGCTCTTAGCTGATCCTGCAGGGATGCCATAAATCTGGGCTACCATGACATATTGATTTCCATGGCAACTGACCAATGTAGCAGGCACCAAATTATGGTGTCACAGGTACCAGACCTCCAGGGTTTGGAATGAGAATGGGACAGGGAAATTGCACCTTGAATTCAAACCCCTGAAATCCAGATAATGGGGAAGGCTCCTGGTCCTGCACACCCCAACTGTAAGGACTTCCCAATTGGAAAGCACCACCACCACCACCACTGGATGCTCTCCAGGTGGAAAAATCAATCAGCTCAAAATAAAGAGCAGACTTACCAGTGCAACCTGCCAGCCTTCCCAAGCCACAGGTTGCTCTGTGCCCGATGCAGGTTTGCATGCTGGCAGCTCCCTGCTCAAGGGGATGAGTGCCATGATCCTCATCTTGTGCTGAGAGCTGTCATGTGCCACTGAGATGCAGGGAACCTGCTGAGCCAGCAGATGCCCCAGTGCCCTGCTTGCTGCTGTGCCTGGAGCCCCCCAGCAGTCTGAAGTCACAGGAGCAAAGCTGCCTTTCCTCTGTGCCTTTTGCTTACTGCAAGGGTTGTGCATTAAACCATGGGATGGGGGTGCTGCAGGTGTGGGGGCTCTTGGCAGGACCGTCAAGGAGCTTAATTGCTGTTGTTGGTGACACTGTGCCACATTCCCTGGCTTTGAAAACTGAAACCTGGGGAAGTATGTTGTGGTTTTGATCTCTGCTTTTCTCCTCTGATGCTTTGTGTACAGCGTATTGATGTCTCATAAAACTGAGATAATCTCTTGCAATGCTGACACTGGTAAGCCTTTGCCTTCTCTGTCAGGTTCAAGCTATAGAGAAGCAGTGAGCCGCTGTAGCAATCATTGTGCTCTTTCTTTTCACATCTTCATGTAGGTTTCATGGTGCAGAACAGCTTCATTACTGTGCCACGATGCTGTCCCAGTGCCTTCAAAGGCCGTCCAAGGGAGACTGCTCAGGGCTGCAGACACATTTGTTTTCCCAGGCATTTCCAGCACTGCCTGCTCAGCGAATGGAATATGGCACAGTGACATTTGCATGCAGACACACGACGTGATCAAAGCCTTCCTGAAGGGTAACCCCCTGCAAGGAGCTTCTTCAGCACCAGCACAGTCTGCAGATGCCACTGAGAGAAGAGAAAAGCAGCTGCTCTGCTGTATCCTTGGCTTCTTGCTGCCCACTGTTTCAGTCCTGTTCCCTTTCCTTCCTAGGTTCTGTTGGGACCCCACTGCCCGGGGTGGAGGTGCGCATTGCCTCCGAGAAGGTGAAAGGTGGTGGCCGTTCCTACACCATCCACGCTCAGGGAGATGAACACGGCACACAGGTAGCACTCAGCTGTGTTTCTGCTGCTTCATTCACTCTCAGAGCCCTTTGAAGCCCCAGGGATCAGGGCTGGGGTCGCACTGTTATTCCCAGGAACATAGCCGTGCCGTTTGATTCTCTCTTGCATTCATTTTATGGCTCAGTATGCCCACGGTGCATTGTGGACCCCATGTGTGTGGTCCTCCCACACATCATCTGAGAGACAGCAACCCCCTGTGTGGGCTGGGAGGTGCGGGCTGTGGCACGAGGGCTGTGGGCAGTGGTGTCAGCAGTTGTGGCTGCAGGTGGGCTGGTGGCACAGCACAGCTCTGCTGCTGGCACACTGCCTGCGAGTGACGGGCTGGTGTCAGTGCTCACACCTGCGGTCACACTCACACAGCCCCACCTGATGCCCTTCCTGCCCCGAGCTGCTGCTGCTGGCACACGCTGCATGCCTGCCTGGTTAATAATTCATAGCAGAGGGAGTGCAGCAGTGGCATTTATTTAACACGAGGAGGACACCGTCTGAGCACTCAGCAGCCCAAGAGCCATCTGGCTGGGTTTCAGCACAGAAATGAGCTCCGTGGCACTGGGGCTGTCCTTGTTCGGTGTCCTGGGCACCTGCTCCCTCCTGCCTGTGCCACTGAACAGCCCCACATCCCATTTTCTTTGCCTGTGCCCTCTGGCTTGTGGGAAGGGATCGGTAAATATTTCCTTGCCTCCCTCACAGGAGGGCTTTGAGACTTCAAGCTCTGTAGTTAAGGGTTATGGAAGCTGTGGTGTGGGAGTGTCAAGGCTGAGGGATCCCGAGGGAGGGAGGGAGGAAGGTGACAGCAGGACATGGCACAGCTCTCCCGGGTGCAATAAGCATCCATGGCCCCATCACTTCTCTGGGCATTTCAGCACAGTTTGGTGTTGACGCTGTGAAAAATTACCAAATGTCACATCGTGGCTTGCTGGTTCCCCTGTAGGAAATAAACACCTCCTGGCAGCAATAAACGCCTGCCGTCTGCTTTGGTTATATGGCTGTCAGGGCAGGGACCTCTCTCCATACACACACACAGTGTGGTGCACATCTGCACTGCTGCACTGATAATAACGAAAGCACCAGCACTGAGTAGCTGTGCTGCAGGACCTAAGCACCCTGCACAGAGCTCAGCTCCCCACTTCTCTGCACTGCATCCCTCTGTTCCTGAGAGGTGACCAAGTTGTCAGGGCCATCTGCGAGGCGTTCACACCTCGGCTGGGCTGCCACTCACCAATGCCCTCCCTTTCTGCCCACGTTGGCCATGGAGATGATTTGCTGAGCTGCAGAGAGCCTCGCAAGGTCACTGCCTTCCCCTCCTGCTCCATCCTGACAACAGAAGACAACAGGCCGTTCCCCAGCCACTAGCTCCCTGCCAACACCACCTTTCCCCCTCTCGCTATTGGGGGGTTCTGTTTGCTGTTGCATTTTCACCTTTTGGATGCATTTGTGCATCCTGGAGACAGCTGCTTGGGGACACTTGGTGACATCTGGGCCAGTCCCAGTCCCATAGCACTGCTGAAATAAGGGGGTATGTGTGGTGGGAGCATTTCTGCGTCGCCATCCAGTAACTCTGAGCCTGCAGCAGGGGACTGATGCAATTTGCAGAGCTGGTTTCTGGCACGCCCTGAAGATCAATAATGTACTTAGCTGAAAGTTTGCTGGATCTCTTAGTTCCTCTCTTCATTTCCCCCCTGTCCCTTGATTGGATTCCTTTCATGCACAAGCTCCCCTTGCAGCTCTATGAGCCCAGGTGTTCCAGGTGGTTCCCATGCATCCTCCTTGCTAATTGTTGCTGCACCTTCTCCTGAGCACAGTGGTGTGGATTGGGACCCTGGACAGATGCTGTCCTCAACGCTTCCCAGAGAACCAGAAATGGTGTAAGTGGACATGGGCTGCTCCAGGTCATCCCAACCCATGCAAGAAGCAGTTCCCAAACCTCCAACCTGCCCACCAAGTCGCCCGACCGCACAGCTCAGCACATGGAATCACAGAGTGCCTGCATGCAGCAAGGCTCCTCCTTACCCCCACACCCCCAGGTCTTTCCATCCTTTTCTCTGTGACGTTTTGGCAGCCCAGCTCAGTCTGAGCACCTCCTGCTTCCCATGCGTGCAGGAAAGGGTTACAGCTTTCCAGCACCGAGCAGTTTGGTTTGCTTTGTTCGGTGCAATGCATATTTCATACGCTCAGCTTCCCAGCTGGCAGCGGCCTGCAAGCCCCAGGAGCTGCTGGGTATTGTCTCTCTCTCTCTCTCTGTTTGTTTGTTTGTTGGTTGTGAGGTTTTTGGGTTGTCATTTTTGTTGGCTTGCTTGCTTGCTTGCTTTTTTTTTTTTCTTTTTCTTTTTTTTTTTGCTTTCCCAAATTGCTCGCTCGCACGAAAGCCAAACCCCGCTCCCTGACAATGGGGGTCTATCAATAGATAAACGGTTTCACAGCTGTACCTAACGCAGCACTCTAGCCAGGGCTTTTTTATGGCCAGCAATTTGCTCTGCGATGAGGCTGTGGAGAGAGTGTGCAGGGTGGTGGGCTGCAGGAGCTGGCAGCAGGAGGATGCTGCTGCAGCCATGGGCTTTTCTCCCCTCCCTTCAAGGTTGTAATTATCTCGTTGTTTATCCATATGCAAGCTGTCGTCCTGGACGAGAAGCAACTCGGAGGCGGCCGTCCCTCCCTGCAGCCACCAGCCCCTCCTGCCCGCCTGCCTGTGCCCCCTGTGGCTCTGCCATCTGCCAGCAGCGTGCTGCACCGTGGGGCTGCCAGCTCCTTGCCCTGCGTGCTGCAGGCAGAGGGCACTGGGTGTGCTGCACCTCGCTCCTGCTCTGCTGGGACCTGCCCAAAGAGGGCTGGCAGGAAAGGTCTTCCTTTAGCTGGTTGGTGGGCACGGTGGGGATGGGCTGATAGCTGGGTTGGATGATCTTAGTGGGCTTTTCAGCTGTTTCTCAGTCAGCACAGTCACTAACTGCGTTCTCGTTGGTATTTATACACCTTTATTCTTTCTGTCTGCTGTTTGGTTTGTGGCCATAGCTGTATTTTTCTCTTTCCTAGGTGTAAAGGTGGAGGCAGAGATTACATTAGCATCACATCCCAGTGTTCCCCAGCTGAAAGGTGTTCTTATCACAGAGGCAGCTCCCAGGAGCTTGCCTTTCCTTGCACATTCACATTGAGTCCATCTGTCAAGAACAACCTCTTTCTATGAGTGCTTCCTTTGGGCTGACCTTTGTCACAGCACCCTCAAGCTATCTATTAATCTCTTTATTATCAGTTTAGGCTTTCCTCCCCCACCTTTCCCTTTTCATCTCCCATCCTTCGCAGGGGAAGGGCTTTACCCTGGACTTCTCCCTGCTTTGGGACAGCCATCCGTGGTCCTCTTGACCAGGCTTTGGTTCTCCAAGAGATGGCTTCCTTTCTGTTCCCATGATGGCTGATGTAGATTTCATCCCCTCTCTGTGCAGCACACCGAAGGAGCTGCAGGTGTCCCTGCTCACCGCAGGGGAGTTGGACCAGTTGGCCGTCAGAGGTCCCTTCCAACTCAAATCATCCTATGATTCTGTTCCTCCTCTGGGTGCTGGAGGCTGCAGCACATCTTGAAGGTTCTTTCCAAGGAGGAGATGCTGAGGCACAGAGCCAGGAGGCAGAGGAGCAGCACCTGCCCCAGGGAGCTCACAGCCAAGGAGAGGAGGCAGCGCTGCCTTGGGTGGGTTCACACCAGGAAGCAATTAGAGGCCCTGGGCAGCATCTGCACTCAGAGCACAACACAGCCCCTCTGACCTCGCCTTTTAAGTGAGGCTTATGGCAAATGAACCGAAGGTGGGATGCTAATTGAATCCTTGCCTGCGCTCTGCCTGCCCCTGAGTGCTACCAGTGCATACTGGGGGTCCTCCTGCAATGCACAGAGCTGGGGGAGTGGGGAGATGTGCTGACATCTCGCCTCATTTGTTATCTCTGAGGCTTCCAAACAAGAGCAGCAGAGGGCTGCTGGCATTCCTGAAAGCGTGTGACACTGCTGCTTAAACCAGTTGATACAGATCAAGAAGTTTGGGTCCGTGGATGGGCTGCAGGGGAGACTGGCCATTCCCAAATGTGGGTTCTTTATATGGTTCTTCTGGGATCAGCTGGAGTTAATCAGCCTGGGAACTTCTAAAAATCAGTGCTGCCTAAAAATATCTACAAGCACTTTTGGTTTTGGTGGAGCAGCATTTGCTGTTAAGTGTAGGGTTGGGCTCTGTGAAAATAAGAACCAGCCTTCCAGCTGTGCAGCTGCCCTGCTTTTACATCTACAACCTTCCAAAATGAAAAGTAAATTGATTGTGTTATTCCCAGCCTTTTTTATACGAGGTAACATTACAAAAGCAGATGTGAAGTGTGGCCTTGTAGATTACGGTCTGGGCCTGGGGTTTGGGTGTTTGGGGATTGTTTTATTTTTCCTTTCTCTGTACTGTGTCTCCGAGGAGCAGAAATGTGCCTCTTTCCAGCAGGAGGAAAATTGCTTGTTGTCTGCATTGCCTCCTGCTTGCCTTCTGCAGGGTGCTGCAGGGCACGGAGCTACGGGAAGGATAATGCCTTTGCACAAGCATGCAGCTTAGCAGGGACCTTTTAATTATGAATGTGCATGGGAAATTGGGCTGCATGGGAATCTGGTGCCAGGGATCAGGGACCTGTAAGTTACTTGGTGTTCCATGCTTAGTATGGTTGCTTTTTTGTTTTTGTTTTTTTTTAAAGTTACAACTCTGAGAACTGCTAACAGGGATCCATCACTTCCATAAACCTCACACGTATCAATTACTGTCTTCTATTAGTCACTTAAAAGGCTGGGTTGCTTAATTATTTTTTATTACAGTGATCACTTATTTACAAGGTGGGGAGAAGTGCCAAGCGTTTCCAAGCTGAGATGCGCAGCACCGGCTGTGGCAGAGGTGCAGAAGCAATTCTTCTTCTCTGCAGATGTCAAGGATTTTGCTTTTCCTTGTTGCAGCAGCACTGGTGCTAGTCCATGCAGCGCTGGGGAAGGAAGAGGCAAAAGGAAAAAGGGGAAAGGAGAATGGTGCAAGAGCTGCAGGGCACGAAGGGCACTGCCCTGTCCCACCTCTCCATCTGGGCAGTGCTGCTCTTCTGCTTCACAGGCGTGTGACATCCCTTTGTAGGCTCCTTCCTAAGAGAGGATGCTCTGATTTGCAGCCTCTGGGCCTGCGGTGCCCCCCCAAAAAGAGGTCCAGACGATTCTTTTCACGGTAAGGAAGGGGCTGCCAGGAGTCAAATGTTTCCCACTGACCGTGGCTGTGGCATTGCTCTGCCGCTTCCAGAGTGAACTGCTGCTTTTCCTAACAGCTCCTCTGCCTCCCTTCCAGCTCTGCTGGTCTAACAAAATGCCATTCCCTCTCCTCTCAAACCTTGCCTTTCAGCTTCCACTCTTTGTCTTCTGAATATTCCTGCTCAGGCGTTTGCAGTGCCTCCCTGCATCCCAGCGAACGGCACGCCGCTGTAAGCCTGCCCCCATCAAAGCTGCTAATTCCATTAAAGTCCATTAGAAACTCCTCTCCTGCTGCTCCCGAAGGACAGGGGGATGGCACATCTCGGAGACCACAAGAAAACAAATGGCCACTTTGAACAAATCGCAGGGCTGCGTGCCAAGCGGGGATTCCCAGCGATTTACAAACCGCCTGCACTGCCTGCATGGAGAGAGGTAACCTGGAAGCAGGGAAAATACTCATTGTATAATCGCCCACATTGATTCCTTCCGAGGCTTTATTACAACCTCTTATTTTCATGCGTGGAAAATGGAATCTTATCTGGCGTGCCTCGACTCGCTGAGTGCGTCGTGCAGCAGAGTGCTGCCGGGCAGCAGCCTTGCAGGGCACACCAGGGCTGCTGTTCAAGTTGCTCCAATACACGAAAGCTGTTGAAAGCTGCATTCGGATCCAGCGTTTGGAGAATTGCCATCAGCAGTTGTGTGCTCTAAGCAGCTGCTTGCAGCATGTCAGCACGTGGTACCTCTGAGATCTGATGGGAAAAGGCAAAAACGCAGGTAGCCGTGCTGCTGCTGCATCTGCATTACCTGCGTGTGGCTCTAGCAGGGGTTGGGTGCAGCAGATAGAAGCCTCAAACCCTGAGTTTTAATGCATGCTGTTCTCAAACTGCTTTCAGTGAGGTGGTTTGCATTCTCTGTGCTGCACCGGGGAGCAGCGCTGGTGACATTCGGAGTTCAGCAAGCAGAATCCTATTAAGATAACGTCACGGCCTTTCTGTTTTACTGTTTGCAAGCCAGCCATAACATCATTAAGTGACACAACAGGGAGGTGCCTGCTGCCAAGGAGCGCTGCTCTAGATAAGATGCGGGTTGAGCCTCTGCCAAAACGCGAGTTGATGTGACGGGAAACTTGGAGCCCATTCAAGATTTGGTTTGCAGGAAGAGCAGCAGTACAGGTACAGGCAGGGCAGGATCAGTGCCCAGGGCTGCCCCATTCCTGTACCCTTCCTGGGGGCACGGCAGGCACGGCCACGTTTGTGTCGGGCTCACATCAACAAGCAGGAGGCATCAGATGAGGTGGTGTGGAGGAATGCAGGACAGCTGCAGCGGGTCCTTGGGGCACTCACCTCTGCCTTCCCCTCCGAGCCCTGTTCCTGTTGGTGGAGTTGGAGGCAGGCTGAAAGCTCTGGGGATTGGCTTTGGAGCTCGCACAAGTCATTAAAATGCTGTGATGTGAGGGGAATTCAGATAACTGCTGTCTCCAGCTGAGGCACAGGGGGCTGCTGGCAGGGGCTGGGATGGGATTGCCCTCGGGAGAAGTATTGCTGGTGGGGTTTGAGGTCTGTGCTGCCCACTGGATGATGTGCAGCTGAACTTGTGGTCCAGCACCATCCTTACCATGCCAGTGTGCAACCGAACTTCCCTCGTTGGCAGTGATGGGCTTTGTATCCCAGGCAGTGGGGGTAGGGCACAACGAGTGTTCTGGGGGCTCAGCCCAGCTCCTGACACACAGAGATATTGAAGGAAATGGCAATTCTGTAGAATTGCTGGGGCTGTTTGTGCAGGTCAGCACATCCTGCAAGACAGGACATCGGGAAGAAGTCCACTAAAACAAAAACTGTGCCCTAGAAGCATCTTTCTAAACATTTTCTGTTAGAGAAGCTTTGGTTGCATCAAAAGCGAAGTCTGTCCTGCTCTGTGATCCTGCTGGCTGTTCCAGCATTGCAATTGCTGCGTTCCCTGGTGGCTGCGTTTCTGGCATTGCTGCTTTTCAGCATCCCAGCTGTGTCTGTGCTGCAGCAACTTGAGCACAGAGTGGCTCAGTGCTCCTGCTGAGTGCGTGCTCTCTGCACAGAGTCAGAGCAGTGCGCTCAAGCAGCTCTTGCAGTGACCTTCTCTCCCAGCAGTGTTTTTGCACATTCTCCCTGCAAAGGTTAACGCAGTGCCAGGAGCAGTGCTGCAGCCGTGCTTCCTCTCACAGCCCACTTGCATCCTTGTAATTGCAGAGCAATGAACGTGCAGGAGGTGAGAGACACTGTGCCACGTCAGGCAGGGCTGTAACCTCTCTTGTTTCCATTGCAGCAGGATCTTCATTTTGTTGCTATAGAAAACCTGCCAGTGCAGGTCTGCAGGGCACCAGGCTCATAGTGAGCCCCAAAGGAACTGTGTGTCCTTGAGAACAAATCAGATGGTGTTTCCTGCCACCTCCTTGGGAAAAAAAAGCAGTGTTAGATTGACAGTTTGGGAAAGTGAGGCTTCCTCTCTGTCAACACAGCAGGCTGCAGTATGGCACAGTCACAGGAGTGTGCCTTGTCCCTCTGCCTCCTGCTCCCATCCTCAGCAGTCTGCAGGCAGAATCCCAGTGGGATGCAATGACCCATCCTGCTCCAGGGAAGCAGGTGGGGATGGGGGAGACTTGCAGGGAGGGAGGGGTGTTCTGGGGGGGGGACAGGGGCTGCTGTGAACTGACGGGCAACGTTCTACCCCACGGCCATTTCATGCAGGCAGTCACTCTTTCTCTGTTCCAGGTGACTCCGGGTCTGGAAGGGCAGGAAGGGGAGCTGCTGGTCCGTGGCTCCTCGGTGTTCCGTGAGTACTGGAACAGGCCTAAAGAAACCAGAGAGGCTTTCACACCCGATGGATGGTTCAGGACAGGTACCGTACTGCATCCTGAGGAGGGGGGCAGGAGCTCGGGTTGTGCCCCCAGGGGTGGGTGTGGAGAATGGGATATGGCATCACTGGGTGCCCTCCATTGGAGCCAAGGAGTGAAGCGTCTTTGGGTTGCTGGCTGTAAAGACAGAATGCAGGGCTGTGCTTTGTGGGACTCAGCCACCTCAGCACCTGGAAACAGTCTGTGATTGAGCTGAATGTAAGCAGGTGTCACATCAGTGACCACAGGAGTGCACGCCCATCCCTGAGGCATCTCTGCTCTCATCCACTGCTGGTATCAAAGCTGGACGTGTATGGGCTGTGGGTATGACTGGGGGGGGGCTCAGCAACTGCCACTGCATTGGAGGTTTGCATGGGATTTCCCTTCTTCATTCCTAATGCCTGGGAAGCCGAGCTCCATGGGGAGGAATCTCAGGGAGAGACCTCGAGGTGGGTGCAGGTCAGGAAGGAGGTTTTGGAATTGCCAGAATGTTGCATTCTGAGTTTGTTTTAAGTGAAAAGTCTGCGGCTTCCAAATAAAGAGAGCTCTGAATAAAGAGAGCTCCAAATAAAGAGGCCTTTTGTTTTGAATCCGAGGCTGGCTTTATTGTTATGTGCTGTGTTTATGAAATTCAAAGGGAGTGTTTCTTTCACTCGGGATCTGCCTTTCCTTTTTGACCACGAGTGAGAAACGGTTTTGATGTTTGCGGGGATGGGAACAGCTCTGGTGTTTGATTCTTTCAAATCAGGTTTCACCAGAAGGTAATACTCCAATAATAATAACATGTGTGCAGGTGGATCCTTGGTAGGTTTTATCTGATGTCTTGAAAACATCTGATTATGCTCTGCCAAGAGTGCTGACTGCCCCTACCCAAAGCTATGCTGGGGCAGCAGGGCCTGGGGGAGAGCTCATAAGATGGGATGACAAGCTCAGGGGGGTGGGATGCCTGATTCCCACCCAACCTTCACACATGAGCAGTTCTAACATTCCCATTTCCCCTTTTGTTCAGTACACCAACCCAGGAGCACGGGGCTGGATTTGGGATGCCCTCTTTGCCGTGTTATTTATCATCCATTTGTGAGGAAGCAGGGATTTCTTGTCACTGCTGGGCATCCCATCGTGGGCACAGCACTGGGTGTGGGGCAATCAGCTTCAGAAATTTTTTTTAGTCAACACTCCTGATGAATATTTCAGATGGAAAGGAATAGCATGCATTAATTATTGCAAAGAGATGTCTTTAGGAGAAAATGATTTTGAAATTCAGTTTAATTTCATTGTAATGCGCCGCAAACAGGAAGGGAGTATGTGTGTTTAATTGGCTCTCGGGGGTAAGGCCTGGAAGATGGCATGCCTTTGTCACAGGCCATTAGTGATACAGACTGCATAATGAGAGAGTACAATCAGCTCACAGCTGCCGGCTCCTACGGGGAGAGAATGATATTAAATAGAAATCAGTATAAATTAAACTTAACCCTTTCGCTGGCTCAGCTGAGAGGAAAGCCTGGGGCTGGGAACATCAGAGGATGCCAGCAGCACTCCGTACCCTCACAGCAGCCCCAGGAGGACAGCAGCTCCTCATCCTCTCCTCACCCCGTTGCCCTACTCTTTGCCTTTCATTCTTTCCCATCTCCTGGCTGCTGTCTGAGTGGTGCTGGAAAGGTGAGGCTGCTGGAGAGCAAGGTGATGCCATAGGGACAGTGGCAGTGCCACCCCGTGTGGGTCACCAGCAGGTGACAAAGCAGTTTGGCACAGTGCTGGTGGGCAGTGCCAGGTCCTCTGAGCTCCACTGGGACTTGGAGATTTGGAGAGAGCGAAGCAGGAGGCAGTGGGGAGCACGCAGCAGCTGTAATTTAGCACTCTGCTGATTGCTAATGGCAATCTGAAAAAGCAGCGGGTCAGCAAATGAAGAGTAATTACTGCAAGGGAAGAGCAGGCACTGCTCGTGCTGCACCTCGTGGTGAACCCCGCGCTGCACGGCGTGGCACCGCGCTGGGGCACTGCATGCGTTCCTCCAGTGCTTTGCAGCATCTGGTGCCCTGCTTCCCTGCTCATGGAAGGGGTTTGAGCCCCGCCTGGGTACTGCGCCCAGTTTGCTTGCATGGAGACAAGAGTGGGTCTCATTTCCTCCTCTCAAATGTGAGTTGGGGTAGCCCAGGAGCCCCGAAGCCCAGGGTGCTTTCCAGGCTGCGTTCTGCAATGTGAGGCTCACAAAGGAATCTTTCATTTCTGAGCCTTCTCTTGCTGCAAGTCATTTATTTCCTAGTTACTTTCCTCAGGCCAGTTCTCCTTCTGCTTGCAGTCCCTGTAAATCATGCTAGCATGTGTATTTTTCAGAAGGTATTAAAGACCAGCACTTCCATGGCAGCAGTCATTTTCCTCCTGATTGACAGCTGCTTTATTAAAACCCATTTTTCTCCCATGAAACTGTCTCACTGAGGAGAGCAGCATCTCACTGAGTGCTGGGGTGGCCGCTGCCTCCACGGCAGGAAGGAACATCAGTGCTGTGAGCTGAGGGCTCCAGCAGCTCCCAGGGAGGAATAAGGAGTTCTGTGCAACACCTGCACGCCTGTGAGCACCAGAGGGCAATGCCACGCATGCAGGAACACTGCACAAACATCCCCCTGCAAATGTGCCCACTCTGGGGAGAAGGAACACGCGTGCACTGCAGGGAGCAGCACGGTGCTGCTGTGACCTTTTAGTGCATTCAGAATCCTGGCTGCAATGGGATGCAGCCAAACTCTGGGTGTTGCAGAGGTGATTTACTGCTGCTCCCTGCTTCTTGATTTCCTCAGGTTTGCACCGTTGCCTGCCTCTCTCTCTGCAGCTCTCGTTTCCGTTTGAGTGAATTTGATTATTTTTATTGTATTGTATCCGTGTTGTTGACAGAGCTGCTTAGATCAGAATCCCCTCCAGCCATTCCCAGGGAGACTGCAGGGTGCCCCCATCTGCTGCAGGCTGCGAGAAGTGCTGAGCCCTCCAGGAAGCTGCTGAGTCCCTCAGGAAGGTGCTGAGCCCCCAAGGAAAGCACTGAGCCCCCCAGGAAGGTGCTTCCATTCATGTTTGCCATACTTGCAGAAAATTAGAATCTGGTGTATTCGGAGAGATTTATTTTCAATTACAGGTTAAGGCTGAGATGTGAAATAGCACCAGGCCTGGAAGTAATGCATAAATCCTGCAACAAATCCATGTATCTCAGCTCCATATAATAAGATTTTATTGATTGCTATATTGTATCTGTCAGAATAAAACTCTCTTAATGCGCGCATCGGGATGGAGAAGATAGAAAGCTTGTTGGTGGTGGAATCTGATTCAGGAATCAATGCACTTTGATTAATAAGTCGTTAAGAAAGTAAGAGTTATTTAACTTGTTTGATGAATGTTTCAAAATGACGACTCATCTTTTAACTTGCTTTCTTCAAGCTGCATTTAAGAAAACAATGCTGTCGCTGTTTTTCACATTGTCAAGTTCGCTTTCTTCCCTTCCTCTTCCTGTTCTCTCTCTTCCCTTCCTCTTCTTCCCTTCCTCTTCCCTTCCTCTTCTTCCCTTCCTTCCTCTTCCCTTCCTCTTCCCTTCCTCTTCCCTTCCTCTTCCCTTCCTCTTCCCTTCCTCTTCCCTTCCTCTTCTTCTTCTCTTCTTCTTCTCTTCTTCTTCTCTTCTTCTTCTCTTCTTCTTCATCTTTCTTCTTCATCTTTCTTCTTCTCTTCTTCATCTTTCTTCTTCTCTTCTCATTCTGTTCTCTTCCCCCTCTCCTCACATGGCTCCAGCACAGCACGTTACCCAGCCCATGCCCATCTCTGGAGGCAGGCAGGTGTTTCCCTGCCAAGGGAATTACTTGTATTTGTGGGACTAGCACTGACACCTGAGACAGAAAACACTTTTGCTTGATCAAGGCAGATTATAAATAGAAATGCATCTCATTAGCATCCTAATCTGCAGGTTTTCTGTTTGTTTGCAGTGTCTCTCCTAGTCATAAATTCAGTTAATGCAAATTCTGTTTTTTTTTTAATAATGGTTCCTTAATTAGGATGTGTTGCAGGTAGAATCACAGACCGGTGTGAGCAGTGGCACCCATAGGGTAGCCCTGTGCTGTCCATGGGGCAGGGCAGCAGCAACGTGGGCCCAGACCTCCACCAGCCCTCACTGAGGAGGTGTTTGTGTGCATAAAGAAGTTTATTCTTTCTCTGGGAGCAATAAGGAGACAACATAGTCAGGTTTGCCCGATGGTTGGAAGCCCGATGGCCATTAGAGCACAGTGAGATGAAGCCCATGGATTTCCATGGCTGCTTGTGGAAGTGGTGTTTCCAGCGGTCCAGGGAGTGACTTTGGGTTTTTGTAGCTGTAAATGAGAGCAGCTTTTGGCACAGAACTTGTTTACTCTTCCACAGGGCTCCGCTCTGCTTGCAGCAAGCACTGAGGATGCCAACCATTGACTGTTGGAGAACCTCCAGAGCCCAGAGTCCAGCATCAGAGGGATGGAGCAATCACACCCCAAGTGCGGGGCAGTAGGAAAGCAGCTGCCCACAGCTCCCAAACCCAGGCTCTGCTTTCAGCCTTTACCTCCCAGGATGTGCTCTGTGCTTTGCTGTTGCAGCACCTGGAGGAAAAGGGCTCGCTCCGTTATGAGCACTGGGGATGGATGTGCAGAGCCCCATCCCAGCTCTGGCCAGGTTGTATTGCAGAGCTCAGAAACAAGAGAGCTGCAGGCTCACATGTGGGCTAGGAGGGCAACCGGTGGTAGCAGGAGAGAGCATGAAATGCATGAAGAAATGGGCTGAGCAATGCTCCTCCTGGCACGAGGCAGACCTGGTTGCTTGCTCCAAGAATCCTCCCATTGCTCAAGGCTGACTTAGGACTAATGGTGTTACACCGTGAGCAGAAGTGGAGGCTCTGGTATCTTTAAGCAAACAATTTAAGCAGATATCCTGCTGCATATCCCATTGCTGCCTCTCCAGTCAACATCCTTCCTTCGTTATCTCTGCTTTATTTAATAATCCATCTCACAAG